TTTTTTTTTTTTTTTTTTTTTTTTCAGTTCCTGGGGAGAATAAAACTTGTGTTTATAATAGAATCAGTATGTAGTAGTTTAAGAGGACTGAGGTTTCAGCCTATTGTAGTTGATCTTAACATGGTTAATCAGGAGTTTCCTTGAACTTAATCTAACCTTTATCTAAACTTCAATTTACTTCAGTAGAAAAGAAAAATGGTCTGGATGTCACTTGGGCCCAAAATCTTTTGGGACATTTTAGTGCCCTTTCTTTACCCTTTGAGAAGCACATCTGCAGCCGGATGGTCATTCACAGAGAGCACTCACCTCTTCTAGAAAGAAAGCACTTAAAATATAATTGCCTCTCCCTCCCAACCCTAATTCATACAGCCAGAAAGTCAGGTTGAAGGATTTTGGAGGACTCTGCTCTTGAACTTTCTGCACGGACAGCAGGACAACCAATGCATGTGTGACTCAGTGTGGCATTTGTCTGCAGGGCGTATGTACACGCACCCATCCTTACCTTCTTGCTTACCAGTGCATGGATCATTTCTCCCTCTTCTGATCTCTTCCAGAGTACCCAGTACTATGACATGCGCTGGTCATGTGAGCACCTCATTATGGTGTGGATCAATGCTTTTGTCATGCTCACCACACAACTTCTGCCATCCAAATACTGTGATTTGCTACATAAATCAGCTGCTCACCTGGGCAAGTGGCAGAAGCTCGAACATGGGTCCTACAGCAATGCTCCACAGCACATGTGAGTAGCCTGAGGGTAAAGCCATATCACACCTTTCTACATGCTGCTGATCATGTTTACTTGCTTTGTGTGTCATTCTTGTTCTTGGCTTTGAACATTTGAGGTTTTTTTTGTTTGTTTGTCTGTCAACATGGATGCTTGTCATCACTCTAAACTGAACACAGGGGACATTAACTCATTCCCACCACCACCCCCCCAGACCCTCCTTAAATGCCTCCTACCTTTCAACTGCCCAGTCACTCTAGAGTTTGTAATTTGTTCCCAAGCTGTAATATTGGAGTTTTCTTTCAGTCTTAACCCTTTGCCCAAATTCACAGAGTCATGATATATTTTTAATTCTCTTTGGAAGACTGTAAGATTCATCTTCTCATCTTCATTGCCACAGCTAAATAGCTGCTAGCTAATCATCTCACACACCGGCAGCTAAAATTTGCTTCTCTCATCTTTTCTTCCTAATAAATGCAAATTTGTTCTAGTAATTTTCCTTGCTTCCTTTTTTTGTTATTTTTTCCCCCTAAACTCACTAATGAATGTCTCTCTGCTTTTCCCATATTTAAATGAAAACTGTCCCTAGTTGAGTTCTCTGTAAGCATTTCTCTCATTGTGTTCCCTTATCAGTCATTTCTCTGCATGGTCCCTGTGATCCAAAATGCCTAACTTTGGAACCCTTTGGTTCTCTCACTTCTGAGCCCTCACCATACCTTCCTCTCAGACCTGGACCATCTTCATCTTCTTCCCTTTTATAATTGGAACATTTCACAAATTTCATCATCTAGAAATTCTTTCCTAATTAAGTGGGACAGATTGAGGGGACCTTCCCTTCCCCTCTCCCCCTCAGAGTCCTCCCTTCAATTATCTGCCTTGATGTCTGATACAGATTAGCACAGGCCTTCAAGCCCAGGAACTGAAAGAGATTGGGCCAGGCTGAAAAGAAACCCGACTGTGGGCAAAGGACAGATTTCAATAAAAATTGAAAATACAATCCACAGTACTAGTACTGTACATCTTCAGGCTCCTGATGGCACATGGCCATGAGGTGTATCATCACTTTAATGCTGGTAAGTGTGAGTAAGGCTGATGGAACATTTTCTGAACTGGGAAAGCTTCAGGGTGCTAGACGTTTTTTTTGTTTTTTAACATATCTAAAATGCTGTCCCAGTTCTTACCCTAGGAAACTAACATTTCCAAAATCAGCAAGAGATGAATTAACTTAGATTTTTTAAAAAGCTTAACCTGAAGATCCCCATCCCCACCCCAACTCCATTACATTGGTGCTGGAAAGAATGAAGCTTCTTCCATAACTTCTTTTTCCTAGAGAAACTTCTATAAAAATAAACCAAGAAAGTGGTAAAAAGAAAAGTCTGTGTGTCAGTACCTTGTGTGTCTCTGTGTTCTGTATAGCTTCACACATATATGAGGCATTTGAAGTATGTGACAAATAAACTGATATTCTATAGCTTTTGGGGATGTAATTCTGCAGTAAATGTCATGCTAATTCGACAGTATGTTCATTTTCCACTACTCTTACTACCATCCGCTCTCTCTTCTTGTTGGTTCTCTCCAGCATTTCCATCCATAGATTTTGCTCACTTGGGATTGAGATGACCATCCACCTGCTTACATTCGATTTTCTGGCTCATAGATGCCTTACACATTTATTTTGGCTCATTCTCCTAAGCCTCTTAAGTCCCTTGACACTGAGTTAACTGTATCACTTGGTAACATCTCTACTCTATAGCAGTGAAGTTATGATAACAAATACTTTCTACTCTTTCCAGTTTGACTGTGCAATTACTGTATTCTCAGAATTCAGGCAGATGAAGCCTTGAATACTTAATCCCTTCCATAGAAATGTAGTTGCCCTTGCCAGACACTGTCTTAGCTGTTATTGCCAATATGCTAACATTGCATTTCTTTCTCCCTTAGTTGGTCAGAAAATACAATATGGCCTCAAGGGGTGCTGGTGCGACACAGCAGATGTTTATATAGAGCCATGGGGCCTTACAACGTGGCAGTGCCTTCAGACGTATCCCATGCCCGCTTTTATGCAAGTACCACTTATTTCTTTTCAAACGTAAACTTAGTGGTAAGCATTAGGAGGCCTCTCTGTGCGTAAGCACCTAGCACAGTGTGTAGCACATACGGAAGTTAATACATGGTAATTATCACTACTAGTATAATAGTCCCTGTCTTTTGGAAGTGTATTCTGAAAGGCAGTTTTAAGGTCAAATACCATTATCCCAGCTTCAGCAGCTTGAAGTTACACTGGAATTTGTTGAGTCTAGTATTACTTGAAACAAGTAGGCAATTATTTAAGACTTCCTTGTTTCATCTTACAATATTTATTTGTAATAGTTTGGTTTAGTGGTATCTTTATTATATTGTATTGTGTATCCTTAAGTGACATTTGATGTAGTAATGTAATGTTTTTGTTTTGTTTTTTGTATTTGTCATACATATCACCTCCTTAAAGTACCTTGACTTCCCTTATCAAAGTAAGATAAATGCCATGATCTCTGGCCTTTTACTTTTTCTGGATTAAAAGGGGAAAAGGGGGGCGCCTGGGTGGCTCAGTCGGTTGAGCTTCCGACTTCGGCTCAGGTCACGATCTCGCGGTCCGTGAGTTCGAGCCCCGCGTCGGGCTCTGTGCTGACAGCTCAGAGCCTGGAGCCTGCTTCCGATCCTGTGTCTCCCGCTCTCTCTGACCCTCCCCCATTCATGCTCTGTCTCTCTCTGTCTCAAAAATAAATAAACATTAAAAAAAAAATTAAAAAAAAATAAAATAAAAGGGGAAAAGGTTTATAAGTTAAAAAGGAAGAAGCAGTAGACATCCACTAGACATCTAGCTAGACATCCCAGCTTCTGTCCCATTTGAATTTATACCTTGGATTATGTTCTATTTGATCTTTTTTTTTTTTTTTTTTTAAATTTTTTTTTCAACGTTTTATTTATTTTTGGGACAGAGAGAGACAGAGCATGAACGGGGGAGGGGCAGAGAGAGAGGGAGACACAGAATCGGAAACAGGCTCCAGGCTCTGAGCCATCAGCCCAGAGCCCGACGCGGGGCTCGAACTCACGGACCGCGAGATCGTGACCTGGCTGAAGTCGGACGCTTAACCGACTGCGCCACCCAGGCGCCCCATATTTGATCTTTTCAGTGTCCAAGAAATTCTGACTCTAGGAGGCAACAGTAATAACTTATAAGAGAAAAGCCAGCTGATCAGTGGCAGTGGGAAAAAGAAGGTGCATACAGAGGACTGTTTCATACAGAGGACTGTTCATAGTGCAGGGCATTGCCTTTGAATGAAGATTATATTCTAAGAAAGAATTGGAGACCTTTTTGGGGGATACTTGAATCTCTTCCTCCCTCCCAGTTCGGTGGGAGTGTACATGGGCTTTCTGGTTCAGTAGGCGTTCGCTACTAAGGCCTTTCAGTTAAATACTGGGAACTCTATATCAGGGCTGGATGCTTGTAAATACCATTGTGGAAGGTGGGGCTGGGTGGGGGCTGGGAGGAGCACGGAGAAGGTGAAAGGCCCTTGAATGAGGAAACTACCAGCAACTCCTTCTAGACTCCTATGGGGTTGCCTTAAGATGGAAGAGTAGACTTAAGTCACAGCTGCATAATCATTTGGTTTCTACACAGAATAGTTAATTCAGTCAGCTGACTTCCACAGGCCATTAATGACTTCTGTTGGCCTGGGCAGTCCCCTTGAAACCTATAATGACCAGGTATTCTACTGGAGTTTTCTGCTTGAAAAATATGTGTTTTCCTTGCTAGTGTGTTGAACAGCTGAAGAATTGGGCAAAATCCAAAGAATAAGGATTAGAGAAGTTAACTTATTACCTGACTTTGCATGACCAAACTGGTAAATCAGTACTTCTCAAAGCGGTCCTTGAGCCACTTGCATGTAAATCACCTGGCCCACTCCTTAAAGTGATTCAGGACCCCTACCCCAGACTTCTGAATCAGAGTCTCTGAAGGATTCCAGGAGTTTGCAGCATTTACAGATTTCGAAATGATTCTTAGGAACACTGAAGTTTGAGAACGCTCATTTAAAATATGCCTACTACCTGTAACTGTTAGAATTTAAAGCCTTTCCTCACCATTCTACTCATTCAGTTTATAGCTTAGTGGCACATTTAATTTTAATTGCTAGAATTGCCACAGAAACTCCAATTGCCTGGGTCCTTTTAGAGCCATTTTTGTACATTCTATTACTAAATATCATATACTAGAACCCAGGGTAAACAGTTTCTTTCTCCCAAAGAAGGACCCTAAGAACCTGGCTACCTTTCATGATAATTAGGCTTTATTCTCAGATTTGTGCCTTGAGGTCCAAATTAGTTTATTTAGATATGATATACCACCATTGCTACAATTTGCACCCTATGACCTCTATCTTTCTATTCATAATGCGTTTTTATTAGTAAACCAGGATTTAGCCACTTAAAAAATTTGGTAGAGGGGCGCCTGGGTGGCTCAGTCGGTTAGGCGTCCGACTTCAGCTCAGGTCACGATATCGCGGTCTGTGAGTTCGAGCCCTGCGTTGGGTTCTGTGCTGACTGCTCAGAGCCTGGAGCCTGTTTCGGATTCTGTGTCTCCCTGTCTCTCTGACCCTCCCCCGTTCATGCTCTGTCTCTCTCTGTCTCACAGTAAATAAACGTTAAAAAAAATTAAAATAAAAAAATAAAAAAAAATAAAAAATTTGGTAGAAGTGAATACAGCAGCCCTGTTTTTAGCCAAATTCTAATTCTGACTGAATTTTCCTTCTTTCCTCATCGTCCTGTATGTGCACCCTATTTCTCAATATCCAGAAAAAAAAGTCCAGCAGAAATATATGGTGTAGAGGATTTGAGTCAGTGATGATGGTGGGTACACAGTTTAAGGGAAAATTAAGAAATTACTGTATTGATATTTCGGCTTGTAAGACCTCCCCTCTCCCCAGACTTGTCTAGCGTAGGTGTTTATGTCTCAGACCAGCCCACAACTAACAATGATTTTTACATTTTTAAATGGTTTACATTTTAAACGGTTGTAAACACCGATATAATATCTTCGATTTTTGCCTCTTGACTTGCAAAGTCTAAAATATTTCCCATTCGGTCCTTTATCCAGCCCCTGTCTTAGATAAATATACTTTGGATTATCTCAAATAGAATATATACCCAAGATATAATTTAAGAAAAATGTTTAGAGGCAGAGTTCTTTTGGGTATAATCCTTTTTCATGTCTCAGGGCATTGAAATAAAACTTATTTCATTATTCCTTGAGCAAAATGGGAAAGGTTTGGGTCTCTACAGCAAGAAATAGCCTGGTTGATGTTCAGTAAGCAGATCTATATATTATTGCACATAGGAACCTGTAAATATGAAATTATCTTAGGAGAAAATGTGAGAAGACTACAGTATTTTTCTGTGAAATAACGTTTTGTTTTTTAATGTCTTTACAGTTCCTATTTCATCGTCCATTAAGGCTGTTAAATCTGCTTATCCTTATTGAGGGCAGTGTCGTCTTCTACCAGCTCTATTCCTTGCTGCGGTCAGAGAAGTGGAACCACACACTTTCCATGGCTCTCATCCTCTTCTGCAACTACTATGTTTTATTTAAGCTTCTCCGGGACAGAATAGTATTAGGCAGGGCATACTCCTACCCACTCAACAGTTATGAACTCAAGGCAAATTAAGCTGCCTCTCAACAATGAGGGAGAACTCAGATAAAAATATTTTCATACGTTCTATTTTTTTCTTGCGATTTTTATAAATATTTAAGATATTTTATATTTTGTATACTATTATGTTTTGAAAGGTGGGAAGGGTAAGGGATATTAAATGTATCCATAAACAAGGTGATGTGATCTTTCATGTGTTAGTACATTTGAATAATACACAGGACGAGAGGTGTGCCTCTGCAGTAAAGAGATTGATTTGTTTGTGTGGCTCTGGAATAACTCATTCATTTATGAACACATCTCATATATCACTTGACACCATACCTTTGGTGTGTCTACGCTGCTTCCAGTCCGAATTATCTTTAGTCCTCAGTTGGCCCGACTGCTACAGAAAGGGAAGTCAGTGGAGTCGCCTGACAGCACCCAGTCTCTTTCTCTTTGGCTGGCTAACTGTATTGGAGTACATGGAATAAAGATTGGGTTATAGTCCTGGGTGGGGTTCTCTTTGTTGCCTACTGGGAGGAAGCATTTCTGAGATAGGAACTCAGCATTTTGTTCTGTTCAATGACATTTAAAAATACTTACAGATAAGCTACTATCCTGAAACTCAGGATTTTGCGGTCATTTTCCCTGTTCTTTCACTTCTTTTGCCTCTTAGATTTTCCTTTTATTATTAGCTATTTGCAATAATATTTTTTAAGACAGTCTTTAGAACGAAAGACCATATCATGAAGGAGATGGTGTATGGCTGGACCAGTGGGAGAAGATGAGTGTAAAGCCATGTGGGCTGGCATATAGGCAGGCTGAAGATACCAAGTAACTGGAAGAATGGGCAAGTTCTCAGCTAAACAATCTTGGATGCAGTCCGGACAGCAGCCCACAGCATGTTTGGAGTTATAAGCAGAAGTGAAATAGAAGAAGTTACCTCTTTGTCCTCAGATGATTCGATCTATGCCTAAAATGTGTTTTTAATTTCAAATTCCAGAACCTCTATGTTTGTGAGCATTAACCTTTTTTGGTCCATGTCCATATTCTCAAGAGGTGAACTACTTAGTCAATTGATGTCACTAGTCATCTAAACTTCTGAGGCCTTGTCTTGAGAGCCTGAAATGTATTCTCATATGTTTTCTGTGCTTTGGCTTTTTTACACTGTGAAGTTTTTGGTGAAACACAATATGACCTATGAAGTAAAAAGACCAATCATGTAATTCATAAACTGGCTCTGAAAACAATTCTTGCAGAAGAGTTCCCAACAGGTTTTCAGCAAAGGCAGCATTATGAGGAGTACGTGTCTATATACAGCTATCCAAGGTGACTGCTAAGTTTAACCATTTTCCCCTTAAATATTTTGACATGTATACTTTTTGTTGTTTTTAAGATACATTATTTGGCAGTCTGAGTCCATGCAGCTATTCAACAAATACATATTGACCACCAGGCACAATATTAGGCACTGGGAAAATAACAGTGAAAAAGAAATGCAAAGTTCCTACCCTCATAGAACTTACAATATGGAGGTGCAAAATGTGCCGTAAATAAATTCATGTGTATTGTCTCCTGGTAGTAATAAGTAAGTGTGGTAAAGAGAAAATAAATCAGGGCAAAGAAATAGTGCCAGGAGTGGCATTGCTAGAAGACGTCTTTGAGAAGGTGATTTCTGAGCAAAGAGCAGAGCAAAGAAGCAAGACTGAGCCATCTAAATAATTTGGGGAGCATTCAGTAATACCAAAGACAGTGGCCTGAGGTGGGAACAATTTTGGTATATTGGAAAAATAGCAGGTAACCACAGTGTATTGGCTGCTTTTGTAAAGTGGCTCAACCTAAATAAGGTGGTTCTTGGAGTGGAGGGAGGCCATCTCAATATTCTTTCCTTAGATAGGGTTTCTTTTGACCCATAAACATTTTGAAGAGATTACTTGACAGCTCAGAGCAAAATGGGTGGTCTTGGCACATCAAAATGGCTCCAACTTGGTTCTATCAGCTCAGATAGATTAGATCTGATTAAAGAGAACAGACTGGCTCTCCTAAGCTGATCCCCTACACTCCTGCCTGCCCCTTCTGGTTTGACCTGTCTTGGCCATATCCTAAATGAGTCCTAAATCAGGAGGACCAGATGCCAGGCTGGCTAAACAAATGAGTGAATATAAGAAAAATTAGTTTGGGCTGGGGCGCCAGGGTGGCTCAGTCGGTTGAGTGTCTGACTTCGGCTCAGGTCATGATCTCACAGCTCGTGAGTTCGAGCCCCGCATAGGGCTCTGTGCTGACAGCTTGGAGCCTGTAGCCTGCTTCGGATTCTGTGTCTCACCCTCTCTCTGCCCCTCCTCCGCTCATGCTCTGTCTCTCTCTCTGTCAAAAATAAACAAACATTCAAAAAAAAGAATTAAAAAAAAATTAAGTTTGGGCTAATGAAATTTCAAAGTGCCCCCCTCCCCCTTGCAGATATGACAGCATCAGGGAGACAAAAGCCTCCAGTGCAACATGCTCCTACATATTTCAGCTGTCCTTTGTAGGTGCCACATTCAGATGTAGTTCCCTGTGTATCCCTTTACTTATGCGTCATGTGAAAGAAAGTACATCATCTTTGCTTGATAAGGAGATACATACTCAGTAAAGAATTGCCTTTTGGTGACTGTTTATATACTGGGAAATTAAGTGGAAAAAAATGGCATAGCAAAAGATCAGTTGGGTGAACTTTGGATACAGGAAAAGGAGAAAGATGCTTGGCCAGTTTGGGTGGTTTAAGGTGGGTAAGTAGAGGAAAGCAGTTCATAGGCATGAGCATGATGGGAATATTCCTCAATATCCTATTTACTCTGATTCCGTGTTATATTCCTTAAGCTTCTTTCCCCTCCCTATCAGTCATCACCACCAACTCTCCCCCATTTCTATTTACTGAGCAATTATTACATATCAGACACTGCTGGGTGCCAGAGATAGTGATGTTGAGCGTTCATTAATAGAAGACAGATAAGTAATTATAACACAAAGGTGTTCAGAAAGGTACAGAGGTGATGCAGAAAAGAGATTTATCAACTTTGCTTGAAAGCTGCAGTGTCATGAAGACTTCACTGCAACAGTAACACATAAGGAGCATTTTAAAGGAGGACTGGGAGTTGAACACTTAGATGAGGGAAAGAAGGTTCATGTGGTACGAACAGGACATACAAAAATCCAAGGCACGGACTTGGGCTAGTTTAGTGGGTTTTTAAAAAAGTTTTTATGTATTTTGAAAGAGAGAAAGCATGAGTCGGAGGGGCAGAGAGGGGGAGAGAGAGAGAAGGAGAGATCCCAAGCAGGCTCCGCACTGTCAGTACAGAGCCCAGTGCGGGGCTTGAACTCACGAACTGTGAGATCATGACCCGAGCCAAAGTTGGAAGCTTAACCAACTGAGCCACCCAGCATGCCATGGACTTGGACTAATTTTTAAATAACCAGTTCAATAATGCTAGCGAGATAGGCAAAGGATAGATTATAGAAAGACTTGAATTCCACATAGGTCACAGGTTCTCAAAGGTGTGATCCTTGGATACTACATCAGATCTAAGTCGGAATCAAGAGTGAAGCCCAAAAATGTGCCCCTTTCACAAGCACTTCAAGTAATTCTTAGAAGTCTAGGAACTGAAGGCAGCTAATGGAAGATTTTAAACTTAGGAGTTAGGACCCAGAGAGTTCTCAAAATGTAATCTCTGGGTCTGCAGCAGCAGCATCACCTAACTAGGAACTGCTTAGAAATGGAAAATTTTGAGCCCTACCCAAAACCTACTAAGTCAGAAACTCTGGATAGAGCCCAGAAATCTGTTTTAACACACTCAAGGTGATTTCGATGAGATCCACCATCCTTAGACAACTTTGGCAGCAGTATGTACAATCTGGAGAATGGACAGATGTCAATGAGACTTAAAGCGGGGAGATCAGTTAGCCAACCATTTAAAAAGTTCATGTAAGAGAAGGTGAGAGGGGGCAGGGTGAGGTGTCAAAGTTGTGTGGGTGATAGAAACAGTGGGGTGAAAGGGAAGGACAATTCTGGTGAATAAAAACATTTTAGAGCAGAGAGGAAGAGGAAGCTTTCAAGTGAACCAGACTAAGGAAATGGAGGTCTAAGAGACAAGGTGAACTAGTGTTTCAAGGAAGAAATGATCAACAGTATCAAATATGAGAGAAGAAGGAAGTCAAGAGACAGAATTGACTGTTGATGTGATTATTGGATCATTGGTGACTTTAGCCAAGAGAAATTTTAATGGAGCAATGGGGGTGGAGGTCAGGTTGCAGTTGGTCCAGAGCAGTGAATTGGAATGAAGAAGTTGTGAATTAGAAGGTGTTCTTGGGAGCCCTTGGGAAGAGGAATAGCAATTCCTGTGAGCTAGAAGGAAGTTCAGGTACATACTTATATGGATGAGAAGGTGCTGGTGGGGGGTAGGGGTATTGAAGAAACATCTGACAGCATAAACTTGTGAAGTAAGGGGCAAATTGGGGGGGTGGGGGGTGGATCAACCTAGGAGGGGGCTTAGAATAGTGAAATATCTTTTGTGAGTTTCTGGAATGAGGGTACTGATGAGGTGGTAAACCATAAATTTTCAAAGGCTCTCCTGCCATGGTTTTAAATTTTTCTCTGGTCTAATTCAACAATAAGTAAAAGAGTGGAGAAGATGGGTGGTAAGAGTCCTGGTCCTAGTTTGGAGGTTTGCAAAGCAGGTATGGCTGAAGTACTAGTGGTCAAGGGAGTTAGTAGTGCTGGTGGGAGTAGTTGAGATGCTATTCCTTGAGGTCTGGAAAGGCTAGGGAAGGAAGAATGAAGTCTGGTTGGGAGTACTGTCTCTCAGAGTAGGCGTAAGCCAGGCGTTAGTAATCTTGAGCAAGTAGAAGGGATAAAGGAGCAAGGATAGGAGAAATTCTGAGAATGGAATATGAGAGTTTAGGATCACAGAGTTGTGGGTTGTGAAACAGCATAATGTGAAACCCTGGAGGCAAATGGCCCAAACTAAAGAGAAGTAAAAGCTGTGAGCAACTGTGCCAAG